AGTACCATTATTATTGTTACTACTACTACTACTACTACTACTACTACTACTACTACTACTACTACTACTACTACTACTACTACTACTACTACTACTACTACTACTACTACTACTACTACTACTACTACTACTACTACTACTACTACTACTACTACTACTACTACTACTACTACTACTACTACTACTACTACTACTACTACTACTACTACTACTACTACTACTACTACTACTACTACTACTACTACTACTACTACTACTACTACTACTACTACTACTACTACTACTACTACCACATGAACACACAAATACACATAAAATGAACGAAATATCCACAAAACTATGTGATAAAAAAAGATCATACACACATTTTTCTTACTCACTTTATTCGTTTTCAACAAGAGGAACATAGGAGTAGAAATTACTCACTATAAATTTCTGCTACTCTTACTGCAATGCTTTTATTTAGGTTTTTGTCTCCATCACCTTCCCAACCTCATCAACATCATCATCGCTGTAATGATTATTTCTTTATTCACTGAAAATTTTCTTCCATATAATCTTCTTTTTCTTTACAACAATCACTTTAAATAACCTTGTCATATTCATGCCTTATCTAGTCAGTTTTTTGCTATTCATCAACACCTCTCATGTTATTCATCAGCTTCAGTATACTGTCGCCTAGAATAATTTATTTTTTATTTCCAAAAATTTAGTCATCATCAAAATGATTATTTAAGTAGTAAATGCAATTATCTTTTTTGTTCTTAATGTCATTAGTAGTAGTAGTAGTAATAATGATGATATTGATGATGATTTGGTGATATGTTATTATTGTGGTAAGAGTAAATTTTGTTTGATGGATAAAAAAAAGAATCATACCGCATTTAATGCCTCATCCACTCAATTCAATCTCTTTGAAATATGAACATGAATTCAATGTTCAATTTATTTCAAGTGGGAAATTTGAACATGAATTTGTCATTTGAAGAGTAAAACATATATGACATTAATGATCATCTCGATGAAAATGTTTAATATGTATATTCAAGATGAGGTTTTATAAAGTGGATTATTTTTTTCTCAATTATCATTCAACTAGTCAAAAAAATTTATAGTCTTTGTTTTTATTAAACCCACCTCCCCAAATGATATAGACTATTTTATAAAAATGAAAAGACTATCCTTTACTCCGATTTAATTACAAGTAGTATCTACATAAACATTAAATGAAATCACATCATTTTCTGTAGACACATCTAAATGTTTTGTTGAGTGTTAATCGCCTCATTTTCTTTTGAAAAAAATTATCCTTTTTCCCTAAATGGAAAGCACTTCAAATACAACCTAACACAAATCGATGTTTGTTAGTTTTACTGGTGTTTGGTTGATGCGTTCATAAATTGTCATTATCATCATTCATTGCTTACTATTATAGATTTATTTATACGTCTATGTATTATGTGTTATTTACATGGGTGTATGATTATTTATTATCTGTCATTTTTGTTGCATAAAATTTCAACCACTTAATCATAAATAGCAATTTAATTTTAAAAAGGTGAGAATGAAAGACACGAAATGATTCTGTTTTTTTCCTGAGAATGATAAAGGAAATTAACGCCACATTATGAACTATAATAACAAGACTTAGAAATGGTGCCAAAAATGAAGATGAATAAAAGAAAATAATTATGACAGCGACATGTAGTGATTTTGAAATACAAACAGCAATGATCGACTATGAGAGAAGAAATTTTCAATCACTTGAAAATAGATTTGAAAGTAAAACACTTCAGAAAGAAAAGAGAAGTTGACAGGTAGAGAAAGTAGTGGTAGGGAAAACAAAGAGAATAAAGGAAGTTGAAGTAAAAGAATATGCTGGGCATTTGCTTTTCAGTATTCAATATTTAACACATTTTTGTCGTTCAATGCACAAATGAATGCTGCATAGAAACGTATAATTTCCGTTAAGGATGTGATTTAAAACCCTAGGTTCTACCTTAGTCGCTTTTTAATAATGACATGTCTGGATGAGCTACACTAGTATCTTCTCAGAAGACTTATATAAATTGCTTGAGGTTCGTAAAAATTGTTGAATTTTTTATAATTTAAGTTACAAACTAGCTTTAACAAGATAACTACTGAAAAACCCAAGAACCACTGGACAACTATCACGTCTTCATGTAAAACCCCCAAAACATCGTTCACCCACAACGAATCCAGGACTTTTAGATAATCTGACTAGCACCTTCAGTACACAACACTGAATTAACACCTAATGCTTCATATTTTTAGCTTCAATCAGTTCATGATATTGAACGATAAACTTCGAAACACATTAATTAGTAACTGTCTCACATTCTATATGGTCATTGCTTTCTATTAGATCTACAGGGACTACATTTCGAAATTAGTCGCTTATGATCAAATGATTATTATGAATATATGAAGTTTGTGAAGGTTAATGATACCCAGAAATTGTGGATTCAACATTCGAAGGATTAGTAGATGCTCAGTTGTGCAGGGGTCGATATTAAGACGTACCAACTATTCAGTATTGCCTAGTTTTCACCTGTAGTTCACTTGTAGGCAATGATCTAAACTGTAAAGTTTATTTTTTTTACTTACAATTTATAAATTCATAGTGTTTTTTTAATATTTTATTTTAGTCAACCATGAATTCTGTCTTATACTTAATTATTCCTTTTAATCTTAATGATTTCAACTTATAACTATGAGAATGTTAATGAAAAATTAATAAAACGTTTATTCACTTTTTGTTTCATTTAGATTCTTTTTTATTTCAATTGAATAAGAAGATATTTTAAGGTGAATAAAATTCACATAAACCACTAATTAAGGACAACAGATTGAAAAAACCAAATCCCACAGTAATATGATTGTTATTATTATTGTTACTGGTAGTAGTAGTAGTAGTAGTAGTAGTAGTAGTAGTAGTAGTAGTAGTAGTAGTAGTAGTAGTAGTAGTAGTAGTAGTAGTAGTAGTAGTAGTAGTAGTAGTAGTAGTAGTAGTAGTAGTAGTAGTAGTAGTAGTAGTAGTAGTAGTAGTAGTAGTAGTAGTAGTAGTAGTAGTAGTAGTAGTAGTAGTAGTAGTAGTAGTAGTAGTAGTAGTAGTAAATGTAGTTTCAAATTTAATTAAAATGCTTTCTTTTCAAAAAAGTGTATTATTCAGATATTAAAATTCTATTCGGATGAGAATGTTGAAAGTTAAATATAAATTAAATCTTAATGTATTTCTGAATAAATTGATAATATACCAAATTTTAAAAGCCATCACTCGTCGGATGGCCACCAATCGATAAATAAAATAAAATTCCAGTATTATATTCTGCAATCTTTGTTCTACCGAACTTAATATTAGACAGATTAAAATGATAGAAGATATCCATGTTTTTGAAAAACGCTCTAGCGTTTTTATTATCCTTTCATTATTCTTTAAATATAACTTAATCGAAATGTTCAATGTATAAATGAGATTTTTAGTTCATTATTTCAAACTGTATATTTGAAACACCATAGAAAAAGAAAAATGGTTGCATCTTTAAACCAAAAAGAATCTTTAATTATCTTCACAGTAATCCGACCCAACCCATCTTATAAAATGCAGTTATATAACCTAGGTAAAGCCATTATAGATACAAGACACTTAGTACGTAAAAATACTTGCTGATATATTTGTAATTACTTTGGACAATGAGAGAAGGAATGAAACATTTGCAGATGGTCTACTCTACACACACAACTACAAATCCAGCATCATTGATGAGCACGGTGGATTTAATCCAGAAGTGAAGGCGCCAATCGGCAAAGCAAAAACAACATTTCTACAATTGAAGAACATCTGGAACTCAAAACATCTATCAACCAATATCAAAGTCACAATTTTCAATACAAATGTCGAGACGGTTCTACAATATGAGGTAGCAACTTAGAGGACTACGAAAACCATCATCCACAAAATACAAATGTGTATCAACAGTCATCTACGCAAAATACTCTGGATTTGTTGGCCATACTTCATCAGTAACAACATTCTATGGGAGAGAATAAACCAGATTGCAGCGGAAGAAGAAATCAGGAAGAAGAGCTGTAAGTGAATAGGACACACGTTAAGGGAAATTACCAAACTGCATCACATGACAAGCCCTCAATTGAAATCCTCAATGCTGAAAGGAAACAGAAGACCAAAGAACATATGAAACCGAGAAATGAAGACAGACATGAGACGACAGAACAAAAATTGAACAGAAGTGGAAAGGGAACTGGGCAAGGAAGCCCAGGACAGAGTAGGTTGGAGAATGCTGCTCAGCGACCTATACTCCACTGTGCGTAACAGGCTTAAGTAAGTAAGTAAGTAAGTAAGTAAGTAAGTAAGTCAAAGAATTCTACTGTACGTTTCATATCAATTTCAGTGGTGACTGTATTCAGTGTAACATTATTTTTCACAGATAATCTGAATCATTTTAATTATTTTTTATAAAAATCAGTAATATTAATAATGGTTAATATATCGCAATGTCTCAGTTACCGCTTTACTTTTTATCTGTCGTGTCGTTCGTATCGATTCTGTCTTACTACTTATACTTTGAAACAGGAATCACTACAATTCCCATGACACAAAGTAAGAACATGAAAGACTAGTACAATGAAAATTGATTGACTACCCAATGACACATTTCCAAAAACAAATCCCCAAACCACATTCTGATTAGATCAAGAAACACCTATTTATTTATATACAAATTTTCACATACAATATTATCACGTATGGAGAAAAACATATAGATTTACTATAAAAAACATACACTGAATATTATTAATCTGAAATGATACATAGAAGATAAAATCACACTGACACAAACATTCACATTTGTTATAATAATAATGATAAATGAAGTCTACACTGAATTGTTACAAGAAATAATTGACTTTAACATGTCATATTGAATGATGATAAAGTTCACACCTGTCATTCTGACCCAAATAAATGTCATCTTTTTTCTTCTATTATATCAAATCAAATGGGATCTTCCATACTATGGCATTCTAAATATACACATTCTTACTGATACATTGATTGTTTATTTTTTTTAAAACAAATATTTTATTTAGGTCATTTGTAAAATTGAAATTCAGGTGTTGTAGACAAGTTGAACAAATGTTTATCGAACTACGATGAAATACATTGATATATATATACACGTGGTGGACTTTCGTTCTCTGAGCTCACTCACAATCATTCACCTGCGCTACTAAAATTCTCTTCACCATTTCAAACGTACACGTATATTTAAAAAAATTGATTATTGAACAATATTTTAAGTGAATAGATATATATTTCTTTTTAAACAATAACATATAAATGAGAAGATACTCAATTTTCTTTTTAAGTTTAAAAAAAAAAGAATTAGATAGTTTCACCCCAAAAAAAAAGTACTTCAACAATTGTATATGTACTCATAAAATAAATGTGCCTATTTTTTTTTCTTAAGGTCAAGCAATGCAAATAAATGTATAGATTGTATTTCTTTTTTCCCAGTCAGGTCAATTTACAGAAGAAACAATACACAATTTAAAAAAAAAGATTCAGTTGTTTTCTTCTTCTACTTCATCAGAATCATTCAATGTAGATTTTCAAATAATCGAAAGATAATTTTAATCAAAGATTTATTGTAAATATAGTAGATAAGATTGAATAATTTATCACTTCAATCTAATTGTTGAATTCACTTCAAAAATTCGTTTTAATAATGAACATGTTTTAAACGTTTCAATGAGAACTACCATGCAGTTTATAATTTTAATTGTAATTATTTTATAAAATATTATTACATTTTAAGTTTTATTTGATGATTGATTTTATTTTTTTCATTAACTAGACTATTTCAATGATAATTTATGATATTATCATGAACAATTTATGACAACGTTGAAAATTGAAACAACGTTTTAAACAATCATTACATAACACTATGATATATCGTGTGTGTGTGTTGGTAATGATCCCCAATAGTTGGTTTGAGTTGACTGATGTTGAACGTATACATCAATGAATACCGGACCAATGCTTCAAATATTAAATGATTGTTTGAGTAATAGAAGGTCTTGAGTTCAATTTCCTGAGGAGCCTTGATTCTCAACACTAGTTTATTTAAGATAATTTCATGATTTAAAATTACGAAAATTCCAGAAATATCCATACTCACTCATAATTCTAACCATTCGATAGTAGGCTTTAAATGTTTACTTTAGCTTAAGCATTCAGAAACATTGATAATTTGACACTATTCACAAAAATCAATCATTCAAGGTCACCTAACACGATAAATAATTAGTTTACGTATTTCGAAAATTCAGTTTTATAAAATTATCTAACTTACTGCAAATTAATAGAAATGTAGTCACTTCTTAGAAAATTCAGGATAGATTTCTCAGAGGTTTAATGATGAAACTGTGAAATATGAAGTCAATTGCTCAGTATTCAATTACTAGTAACATTAATTATGATATTACTTACTATTTGCGCCTGTTACCCCACAATGGATCATAGGACGCCGACCATCATTCTCCAATTTACTCTATCCTGGGCCTTCTTTTTACATTCTATACAATTGCTGTTCGTTCATCTGATATCTGTCTCCGATTCCGACGTAATGTGTTCCTTGTTCTTCATCTTATCCTTTGACCTTGAGGATTTCAAGTGGGGGCTTGTCGTGTGACACAGTTGGGTAATTTCCCCCAACGTGTCTCCTATACCCTTACAGCGCTTCTTCCATTACAATCTCGTTTGTTCTCCCCATATTAGGTTGCTGCTGATGGTATTTGACCAACGGATCTGTAGTATTTTGCGTAGAAAACTGTAAATACATACTTATGTCTTTTGGATGATGTATTTGGTAGTTCTCCAAGTTTCCACCTCATATTTTAGAAGTGTCTTGACATTTGTATTGAAAATTGTGACTTTGGTGTTTGTTGATGGTTGTTTTGAGTTCCAGATATTCTTCGATGTAGAAATGTTGTTTTCGTTTTGTCGATCTGCGTCTTCACATCTGCATTAAATGCATCGTGCTCGTCAATGATACTGCCCAGATATGTTAATGATTTTACATCCCTCAATGCTTCTCCATTAAATCTGGTTTAGTGAATGCATGTTGTGATGTATCTGTGAATTTTAATGTTTGTTCTGTGTATGTTAAGATCTTCTGAGACAGAGGCTGTTGCTACACTGATCGTCTTCTCCTGCATTTGTAGTTGTGTGTGTAATGGAGGAGCCAGATCATCTGTGAAGTCCGAACCGCCCATTTGCATACTAGTTGTCTATTGTAGCCCGTCCTTCCCTTCAAATTTCGACGTCTTCATATTCCAGTCAATCACCAGCTGAAAGAGAAAAGGTGAGAGTAAGAAACCCTGTCTGACACCTCGAACGAGTCTGTTAGCTGTCCTCCATGCACTGTTCGCAGTTTAATTCATCGTAAGAATTCCGCATTATGTTGACCATTTTCTCTGGCACACCGTAGTTTCGAAAAAGCCTCCATAGTGTCATCCTGTCCACTCTGTCGAGTGATTTCTCGTAGGCAAGGAAGTTGATCTACAGTGGGAATTCCACTGTTGTTCCACAATGATCCATAGTTTCGCGATTTGATCGGGACTTGCCTGGTCCTTAAGGAATCCATCCTGTTTATCTTGAAGTTGGTCGTCTGTTGATCACTTCGTTTATTTTAACAACACCGCCGAAGACTTTCCCTAGTACTGATAGTAAAGTGGTGCCTCTAAATTTTTCACACTTGTGAGATCGCCTTTCTTTGGTATCTTGATCAGATGTCCTACTTTACAACCAGTTGGTAATTGTTCTTCACTCAAAATCTTGCTGAATAGATCGTAGAGTCTATTTGTAGTTTCCGTTTTATCTTCCTGTAATGCTCCAGCTGGAATGCTGTATGGTACTGTGCTTTACCACACTTGATTTGTCTGATGGCCATGCTGATCGCTTCAATCGTCGGTGGGTCATAATTGCTTGAGAGGTCCGTGGGTGCTGCTTCAATGTTCAGTGGTTTCAGTGGGGCTGGTCGATTCAAGAGTTTCTTCTCTTGTTTGTTCTCTGTTCTCGGGTCTCGGTGATTACTTTGCCCTCCTTTTTTTTAACTGGTCGTCCTGGTTTACCACTATCCCGAAGAAAAGCCGTATTAAACTTTTTGTGATTTCTTCCTTTCCGCTGTCCGGTGCTCTTTGAGTTTCAGTTGGCAACTACAAAGTGATGATCTGAAGCTATGTCAAATCCTCTCTTGTTTCTCCCGTTCCCCATGGTCCATCTGAACTTTTACTGATGCAGACATGGTCAATTTGGTTCTATGTAGTGTGATCCTGTGAAACCCATGTAGCTTCGTGTATGCGTTTGTGTGCGAATATTATGCCGCCTATGACCAGTTTGTTGAAGGCACAAAGGTTTACAAAACTTTCACTATTTCCGTTCTTTTCTCCTAGTCACTGTCGTCCCATGATGTCTTCATATACAGTGTTGTCCATTCCAACTTTGGCATTAAGTTCTACAATGAGACTTGTCGAATCCTTTGCTGAGCATTTCTCGACGATCGACTGCAGCCTTTCGTAGAATTGATCTTTAACGTCGCCACTGTAGTCGTTGGTAGGAGCTTAGCATTGGATGACATTCACTGTAATGCTCTCTTTTTTATTTTGAAGGATGCTTTAATTATCCTGGGTCCATGAGATTCCCATCCTTTAATTGCTTTTTGTGTTTGTTTCAACAGCATCGGTACAACTCTTTGTGTTTGTGGGGCATTTCCATCTTTATGGCAGGAGTATAACAGCAGCTCTCCTGAAGCTAGTCTTTATTGTCCAACCTGCGTCCAATGCATTTCACTAACTCCAAGCTCCTCCAGGTTGTATCTTTTCATTTCTGCGGCAACTTGAATAGTTGTCCGTATCTCCCATATTGTACGGACATTCCATCTACCTCATTTGAGGGGTGCTCTGGTTCTTAGAAGAGTCATCGGCCTCATAACTACCTAAGAAACTCGGCTTTCATCATGAGATATCATAACTATTCTAATTGTAGACCTTCTAACTCTCAGGGCAAAGTTTAAATGGTTTATACTATTCTTTATGGTTAGCGCTTTTTAGCGAGTTATTTTTCTACAGAATGGGGTCGCCAACCCCATGCCTAACATTCTTGCTTTATCCGGGCATGGGACCGGCAGCAGCTTCAGAGGGACTCCAGGTGGAGTTTAAATTAGACGTGCATAATCACAATTGCATATTCATTGAGAACCGGACAATTACTCCATTTTTAATTACGATATATTATTTATTTATTTTTTATTATTATTATTACTGCGAGGTTAGGAATAAGGTATTATATAAAGACGGCAAATCAGTTGGAGTAGTAGATCTTCATCAATTGGAACATGTGCTACATATGTCCAACCGCCGACTACTGGTGTACGAGTAGACTGGAAGAAAGCCAAAGCAACTAAAACAATACATAGCACCAATCTATCAAGTCCTCGCCAGTCGCATTTATCTTTGTTATTAGGTGTAGACTACCTGGTTGGCTCCCCGAAACAATCGTAACCGGTGGATAGAGACTTTGAATAATATAAATGCATCCATTCTTTGTATACTTCCAAAATCTAAGTTTTCGAATACCTCATCACCCTTCTTTTCACTTTTTTTTAAAATCTATTTCACTGTATAACACTTTTCGAATCATATCTCTAATCCCTTATCTTTTCTATTACTGCTACAACCTCTATTACTATGGGATTTGAACTAACAATTCCACTTCTCTTTGTTCTAATATAACATAACAACTTGAACTGATATATACATGCATGCCAAACTCTACATTGTACCTTATTGACTGACTAACATCATTTCTGATTCCAGTGATTATTATTATTATTATTATTATTTTAATTCAATCAACTACTAACATTATGTAATGTCATTTGATTGCGCCAGTGATGATCTATTTCGATAAGTGATTTGATGAACTCGACAAATATTTTGAATTAGTAACCTCAATCATTAATCACGCATATTCATTTACACAAAGATATTATTGTTATGTCAAAAATTATTAACACAATGATAATAATTATTATTAATATTGTGATTATTATTTTGATTATGATTGATCATTTGTCTATTTTTTTAAATAAAAAAAAAATTTTGGATTGTCTTACAGGTGAAACAAAAACTATTCCTTTTTTAAATAAAAAAATATTGTCTTCATTTTTTTTCAATGAAAATCTCTTCATTCACTATGCTTATACTATACTATTCACTGTCCTATTGATTTTTATGTCTTATTTAAATAAAATTGACAAGTATTTTGTTTTAAACAATATTTCGAATATAATTAATTAATTTCTAATTAATATGAAATGTCTATTTGACAAATGATAGGGAGTTAATGTCTAATTACTTAGTAATATTAATTACGATTATTAATAATATTACATATCTATGAAGGTTATTCAATATGAACTGTTCGATTGTGTGTGTGTGTTTTTTTCAGTTATTTTCTTGAATGACAAAGCCAAACAAACAAAAAAAATACGATATGTCAAATAACTTTAAAAATTTTCAATTATATATATTGACAAGTGAACATGATTGTTAGTAATGTTAATGAAAAAGACTATAAATGGAAGAGAGAGGGCGGAATTTTCAAAGAATAAACAAGGTTAACAGTGAAATTCCTATTTCAACAAGTCAGTTATAGCCCGAATAGCTTAGCGATAACGGTTTTAACCATGAACTCCTAGAAAAAGTCTCATTTCCTCTACGATTACAAGTATATCTGTCTGAAAAGTGCCATTTATCAGCAAAATAACCTAGGTCAAATAGAATTTCCTACCGACATACACCAACCAACCAACCAATATTGACTATGAATAATTATACAGAACATAAATTAACAGTACTGTTATTGTATCAGTCACTCAACAAGTAGTAATCATTGTCATTTTTCTTCACTTCTCTAATGATGACTAGTTGCTTCTTTATGTTCATTAGATTACATGTTTAAGCATTTCAGTTCTATGGTAAGAATGATTGACACTGGTTCAAGTCTAACAGTGAACATCCATTCACTTAACAGTATGAAAACCCTTACTGCTGACAATTCATATAAGACTGTTTTATTTTTCCGAAAGAAATCTTAACTATAAAATATCTTAGATTATTGTTATTCCCATCTCAGTAATATTGATTATTGGGAAAAAAACGGTTATTCGTAGCTTTTCTCTTAATTCGAGAAAAGCTTTTAAAATTAATTACATAGATAAATAAAACTAACTTTTTAATCTAATTAGATTTATATTAAAAGAAATTTTAATGATAAATATGATATAAAATTAGTTAAGATACTAATTTTATCAAATCGATTAGTTATTTGTCAAAAATATATAGTGTAATAATTCAAAAAGTCAATGTTCAAATAAATCAGGCATCTGAATAAATTTAAACTACTTGGTTCAATGTACAATTATTTTTAATAGACAATAATAAGTATCGAAATAATGTTTGTCATTGATAAACATAAAGAGTTCAATGAGTAGATGATTTGTTTCTGTTCAATAGTCAGAATCTAATGACTCATATATTCCTAAACTTAATCGACTTATGAGCTATTCTTTCTGATTGACTGAATTCAACAATCATGTATTCACTAATGAATAGATTCGAGTAGATGAAGATAAAATTAAGGTTCAGTATTTCTTCCCAGTTGTCTTCATCTTCCTAACATAATGAATGACCATTATCTAATTACATAAATTAACATATATACTTCATATATTGTGGTGGTGTTTCGTTCTCTGAGCTGGATGTTTTGGTTGTGGAGCTTTCTGAAGTTTGTGGTTGATGATGTTATTCAGATGAACAACGAAAGCTCCACAACCGAAACATCCAGCTCAGGAAACGAAACACCACCACAATTATTCACCTGAGCTACAAATCTCCACTATTTCATATATGTGAACTACCTTGATACTTAATCACAATCCAGCATTACCAAAAAAAACCAACATTTAAACAATGGTAGCGAGTGGTTCCAGTTAAGATCGTAACTAGAGATATTTAGATATTAACAACAAGAAAGTATAACCCAAGTATACAATTATTTTCAAACTATAATTATGAAAATATTTTCGTAATGAATTATGAATATATAAATTTAAACTTTATTAAATCAAATATCATTCAAACCAATATGAATAAACTTTATCTTGTTTTTAATAAAAGAATTTGTGGGAATTGTAGGAAAATCTATTGTTTAAAATGACAAAACAAATTTTAAATAGATGATTATTGAAAATGTAGAGATACTGAATAGGAGTTTTATCTTCCAAACTTTTAATCAGTTAAGTCCACGTACTCATATCCAAGAATTGAACTCAGAACCTTCTACTTCATGCGTAAAAGCTTAACCTATAGATAGTAAAATCTCCTATTGATCATGAATATGTGGCTTTTTTAGTGACCAACTTCAAGATGCAATTCCTGCGGGGTGCTACTGAGAAGTAATGACCAATGGCGATTAAAAATAATGGGTATGAGACAATTATTCACTTCATTCAGTTAACTTTAGTTGAAATGATTGATGCTAGACATGTACACCATTGAATGCTGACATAGTGGTCTAGAGGTGAACAATTCAGGAGCGAAAACACATCCCCGAAGTCAATATCTGATGGTGAAGTCATGGATGAGTACTACTGAGGAGTGCCATTCGAGGAAGAAATATCCATCTAGTGCTCCCAGCTTTGAAACCGTGGTCTAGTTAAGATCATTTGATGACTTTAACTATGAAGACTGATCTTACTCAAACCATATAATAATAATAATAATAATATTTTGTTTCATTACCCAATCATTTTTTTCGAAAAATTACGATCTTCCTGTTGTCATGACAATAATTGAAATATGTGTTGACGAAACACTAGTCAAGTGTGAAAATTCTCACCTAACATTTGATGATTGTAAAAGTCAGTGAGGCGTGATCAAAATAAAGGACAATCGTTTTTCTTCCTTTTTCAAAATTCTTTTTTTTTCAAGTTTCTAAGGTAAAAATTAATCATTAAAAGTGTGATTATTAATTTTAATAATGATTATCACTAGATGTAATTTAGAAAATAATATTCGTAAAAAAAGTATTTAAAAGAAGGAAACCGTTTAAACTGTCTTCTTTTATCTTCACTTATATTAAAACATACATCATTAGAATGTAAGTGAAAAGAGTTTTAAACAACATCAAATTCTCTATGGTTATTTCAGCAATGTTCAAACTGATCTTTAAAATTTTCATTATAGAACTGTTGAGTTTCATTGAAATCATGAATCGACCATTGTTAGACCATTATTAGAAACCTCGAAGCACTGGATGGCCAAGACCAATGGAGATAAACCCTGTTGGATGTGAGGCTCCTACCCTTCAAAGACAATGCATGTGGTTGTATAATACCTTAGATTGAGTAAAGTTAGATATTCAGGCTGTTGGATGTCAGCAAGAGGTTAAGCGTTCGCGCACGAGACAAAAGTCCTAGGTTCGACTCTTAAGAGTGAGGGTCGTTGGTGCATAATACTGTTGATGAGTCCTATATTACGACGAAACGGCGGTCCAGTGCTGGTGGGTTTCAAATGGTCCTCTAACAATGACCGATTTATGGTGTCAGTTATCTTTACAATCCATTTACCTGAACATTTAAAACAAGTAATTTAAAATTCATTTCTCTAAGTAAACATAGTACGAATTTTCATTCTTTTTACTATATTACGTATCATGGAATATTGGATTTTGACACTGACTGACTATTTAACATTATGTTCCTCTGAGAGACTTGTCAATCTTATTGTATGATTCAATAAATGTTTAGTTATAAGCGTTCATTTCACAAAGTACAAAAGAAAGAATTACATTGAGACCCTGAATCAGTCATGTTTAGACCACCATTAGAAACTCGTAAGCACTGAACTGTATTTTCGTCCTAGTGCAGCACTCTTCAGCAGTGCACGTTCACGATTCTCGCCATAAGAATGGAAACCAGGGTCTTCGCTCTCGCGCTGCGAACGCTTAGTCCCTTGACCACTAGCTGACATCCAACTGCATTGATGTCAAGGTGCTTGAACCATTGTGACAAACTAGTCGTTATCTATTCAAACTAGTAGCAATATTTCAACTTAATCAACAGAATTCTATCAACATTAATTTATTAGACAGACCTGACATCAGCCACTACTCAGTGATGTTCGATGAGAAAAAATACATACACAAAACAACACAGTGATCTTATTATTATTTTTAAATATATAGTTGTCAGTGTGATCATTAAAATACTTTTGAAAAATCTTTTTCACTTATAGTCCTCAAGTTTTTTGTGGAAAATCAGTAAACGCAGGAGCTGAAGTAGGTATTCTCCTAGATTCCATCACATAATATAACGATAAAAAAGGTTGGATTAGAAAAGAAATAACACTTATCCCATATTTTATTGCTGGCTGTTGTTACCATGACTTATCAACTTATATATATGAGAATTTTTGTATATATATCTTGTAAAATATTTGAGCTACTTAAGTAATTTTGAATGACATGTCCTCTCAATAATCGGATATATTTTTAAAATAATCCATACTGTAAAACAATCCGTTGTTTTCTGCCTATCCACTCTCATAATCTGATAGAGAAGAGTTTAGGTTTTCAATGTCAACTACTTCACAATTTATCCCCTACACTAATTTTTCTAGTCTGTAACAGGAAATATCCCCTTGAACTAATATTCTTCAAGAGTAAATGATTAGTTTGCTTCATTGAATCAGTGTGACAACTAGCTATTAATTTGTCTGCCCCCTGTAGAAAACACATACACTAAAATATATGTCATGACCTTGCTTACTCGAGACATGTTCACACCGCCTCCCCCCTTGAAAATTAGTTAAAGCGTATGATATTCATTGTGTGGTATGATTACACACCCACTCACTTATTGCCATTCGTGCCATGCATCACATACGAACGCACCTATCTCGTCGAATGACATATGAGCTGCCGCATGTGTCATGTGACAGCTGTAGGGTGCCAATCGGAGTAAGGCAGGTTTGATAGACAGGGTGACAGCAGTGTATATACCTCAACCCTAGGAAGTGAGCGCGAAAACACACGTATGCGGACAAGTTTTTATCTCCCCCACAAAAGTTTTCTACATGTGCGATATACAAGTGGTGCGTCAAACTATTGTTTGCTCAATATACTACTATAGTGGATTACTATCTCTCACCCCCTAACTTTATCATATGTGTAGCTTCTGACGCTATTTGACACGTCGTCAGAATGCCACTATCAAAGAAACATGAAATTTGTAGTCTATCCATTTTTAAATTCATTGATTTAGAAAACGGATGAAATACGATATGAAAAATTTACAAATTCTCTGATTATTTATTTATTACCTAATAGAAATCTATACAATTTTGTGGCTGTAAGAAAATAAAAATAGAACAATTCGAAATTGTTAACTCTTGAGAGAATTTTCAAAAAAAAAAGAAAAGAAAATACAGACGAAGAAAGAAAAACATCAACACTAAAACATGGGTCTACTCCCATTACTTGATGCATCCGATGTCTTAGTGCTACATTGTCCATTATGTTCTTTTCATACACATTGGTTAAATTATTTGGAAATTCATTTCAATCATGAACATGCAAATGAAAGTGTGGATTTTATGTTATATCAATGTTCAAAATGTCGAAAAATTGCTTCATGTAAAACATTCCTAATTGAACATATTGATATATGTCATAAAAATTTGGATAAATCTGCTACAATTCAATTATTTCGAACTCAATCACCAAATGATTCATTGTCAGATTGTAAAATTGTTGATTTACAACAAAGAAATTCACCAAACATTGAACATTGTGACAATAATAACTCCGAAATGATTGATCCGAATGGAATTATTCAAAATATCAGTTGTATACCGACGACTACTCATTCAATTGATGATAAGGAAACACAGATTGTCGATAATATTGATCAAAATGTAAATGAGGATGTTAGTAAGAGTGATGTTAATGATAATACTGATAATAATAATAATAATAAGACTGATACTGATGAATCTACTGATCCCAAAGCTACTACTAACACTACTACTACTGTTACTACAACCTCTATTAATGACAATAATGGTAATGATATTAATAATACTGAAAATAATGAAAACGAAGAACCAATTCTCAATGATGCCAAAAATTCTCAATCTCCATATATAAAAATTTTATTTATAGGTCAATTATGTGGTAATAATTCCACATTATCACCATCCTCACTGTCACCTCCATCATCCACATCTTCGTCTACATTATCGATGCCATCGACTACAATGACACTATCAACAAACAGCCAACATACAACATTATCAACATCATTATGTGAAATACCATTCAGTAAACATACAAAGCATTCATCATCATTATATCATTTACAAAAATTACATAATCATCATTATTTAAATTTAATGAAACATCAATGTTTATTTTGTGATTATATTAGTTCAGATTCAATGAAACTATCAGAACATTATGTACAACATGGAATAAGACAATTACAATTATCATCAAATAATTATAATCTACAAAAATTGAAAAAATTACATAAACTCACTGATAATAATAACAATTATCATTATTTATCAACTAATTCATTGCCAACTATGAATGAATTAAATAAAGTAAGTCATTTAGACATTTAACATGATTATTACAATAATAATAATAATAATAATAATAATAATACTAGTGATATTACGGTTCATTGTCTGGAAACATGAAGTGATATATCACTATATCTTAACCTCGTACTTCATACTTCATACAGACATTCCTATTCTGTTTTCTATTTTTAAGCAAAAAAATTATTATTTTCAACAACTGAATCATTCTCATTACCGTGTATACTACTGACTTACGGCTGTTATCTCTAGTGGTCTCCGACTAAAATTCTCAAATCCACTCTGTCCTGGACCTTCCTTTCTGGGTTCTACCCAACTGATGTTTATTCTTTTCATGCCTGCTTCTAATCTTGGGGGTAATATGTTCTTTGGCATTGTAAATCACAAATGAGAGCTTACCTTTGGGATGTAGTTAGTTGATTTTCGTATTGTTTTTTTACACTATCCAAGATACTTGGATTAATTATAAGTAATCAGTATTTGTTTTATCCCGATTCATTAAATGTGGGGGTGTATCAGCTTAGTCAAATGCATATTTTTATGATCAACAGCAAAAATAACTAACAACCTACACTTTATTCATCATTTCAACTTAATTCAATATTGATTTTGTATCAATCGACGATTATTATTTGAACCAGTTTATTTACTTGTTCTAAATTAATCAATAAAACTGAAATGTTTACATTTGATTACTACTAAATACTTTTGATCTTATTAAGTAAATACTAATGTAAAAAGTTTTGCATTCATTATGATGCAGTTATTCGTTTCATTGTTAATTTTTTTTCTATCTCCTATCACTGTGTTGTGTCGTAATGATTAATGATGTAAGTTAAACTAGTTGACACACCACTCATCTCGGTTACTTCAATCAATACTCAATAATAATCATTATGATTTTAAAGATTCAACTCGAAAGTAAGCATATTTCTTTTCCTATCAACGATTTGATTCTATCGTTTTGATTATTCTATACAATAGTTTATACTACAGTTGATTTAGTGAAAGAAATTTCATCGCAAATTATTTCAAAATAGTATAATTTAATGAATTATCAACTTATCTATGTTTAATTTGATTTGAAATACTTTGTTATTGTTGATATGTTTTACTGAAACTTGATCGGCCTAAGCTGATATAAAGAAATCCTGTGAGTGTTCTCCTCAATATAGCCAGTTCGACACAAGCTGATATAGAATAGATGAAATGTAGCTAAGAGGACACGCGTTCTGTTTTATTTACGACTAGTCAGCTGGATGTGCCTGTATCCTACAAATGATGTTTACTTCGGAACTCGAACCCAAGACCGATGAGAAATACCAACACCGTGATAACTGAGACCATTTCGAATTGAATTAAATCACATACCCGTTGCACAAGTAAATGTCTATGTGCACTCAGTAGCTAAGTAAAAAACGCGTTGTTGTATGAAGCACAACGTACTAGGATCGAGTCTCTAAGGAAACATCAACTCTAAGATACAGATACGTCCAGCTGACAAGTACCGAATGGGATGAAACATTCATCCTGGATTCCACTACTAGATGTATACCATCTATTCTATATTATCAAGGTTAATTTTAGGATATGCGCTTAATACTTTTGTGTATAGTACTTGTCAGTTGATTATATTCCATTATTTACTGGTTAATCTGTGTTAGAAATTGTGTTTTCTTCTTTCTTAAATCTACTGGTTACAATATTTCAGTAATTAAAAAAAAATGATTCAGATAACTAATTATAATTTCATATGTTGTGAAATCAAAAGTTATTTCTGACAGATGAAAAAATGGTTGAAAATTTTCACATGTTTATAATAAACTTGGGTTAAGAAATTACATTTGATTTAGAATTTTAAGTGTAATAATAAAATTTAATAATCTAAAAGGATAAATAATCCTGTCGATAGATAGTGGAACATTTAATTAAATTATAAAATGTAATCGATTAAATTTGCAATAGATGATTGAAGGGCATCCTTCTTAAATGTCAACTTTAGGAAGTAATAGACGTCTGTTCACTCTAGTCATCTAACTGTTCAGATCTCTTACAAAGAAAGTTCACTAATCGACTTAGAATATGTGGATCACCGAAATAAAGAAAAAATATGCGTATGTTTAAGATGTTCATTATGTTCATCTAAATATCATAGTGTTAAAGG